TGCTCCCCCACTTGCCGCGTGCCACACGGCATCAGCAGCCTCGCTCGGCCTCCCCTCCCAGATAACAACTTTTAATTGTGTTGGAGGGAAACGTTGCGCATCCTACAACGCTATCTAGATTTCTCGCAGAAAATGGAAAACGATGAAAATGAAAATGATGAAGATGGCGTGTCCGTAGCCAGTTGAATTGCAGGGCTCAGCTTTTAGTATCTAACAAAAAAGAAAGACCATGTGACCCGCCATGACCACCACCCCCCCAAATTCAGATTGGTACTTAAAATTTTCATATTTAGTATGGTTACGTGTAACAATATTGTGGATTTTTTTGAATTGCCACTCCGGCCGCAATCTGTGTTTATCATTGAGGCAACTTCGAAATTGAAAACTATTTTTTTTACATTCATTTTGGTATATCATGTGTAGGTACGTAATAAAAATGGCGTCAAGTAAGTTGACTACACTTCCCACGCATCGTCGTCATAAGTTCGTAAGGATTATGTTCAGTACAAGTTAGCCTCTCGTAGAGAAAAAGTTAGTTACGAAGATGTATAACAGGAAAATTAAACAGATCAAGTCAGTCAGACAGGCCCATACAATTAGCCCATAGACATGTTCCCTGCCCTACCGATAGTACTGTCCATGTGGCAACGTCGCCCCTCCCCGATACCTGACCGCACGACGCAGCAACACAGCACAGCGGCAGTAATACCAGAACACTTAGCAGACCGGTACACCCGCAGATAGAATTACATAGGCTAAGAGCGTACTAACCTCAAAAAATTGAGATATAACCCTTCCTCACCCCTTACAACCCCCAACCCCCAATTTTTAACCCTACAAATTTAGTAGCCTCTGAAGCGACAAAAAACGAGGCGGACTGACCGACGGATATGAGTGACATGGTTTTTCGTAACATAGTGTCATATAATATCCAAAAGACAATATAAATTTTTGAAATTGTTCGCGATTAGAATAATCCCTCGCTTTGACTGCAATGTTAACATCATTCAGAGGACTCACTGATGATAGTTTCAAATGTCATTCGTTCTGTCCCAGCAAAAAGTGTTTTTCATATGCATACAATTTTATTTCGTGGGAGTGGAAAGAGCAAGTGTGCCCACCTTAATGTAATGCATATTTGGCATCGTTTCGTGTTACAATATTGGGTATTCAGAAAACATACTCTTCAATCGCGACAGCTGCTGAGACGACTTTAGGAGATCTGTTTAGTGAATGTGAGACCCAGAGAACTGCTGCACTGATTCACACATTTTGCGTGCTGCTTTATTACGTAACTGCAGAATGAAAGCGATGGCGATTGTCAGGTAGTCATGCATCAGACCCAATCTAGCACTCAGGATCGCCTTCATTACCACTACGTACTAGCTATCATTCACTTGTAGTAGCTGTGTGTTATCTAAATGCCAAGTATGTGCTGTATGTGTTTCACTTAATGTCTAATCTGCTGAGTAGGTGTGGCTTTAGCTATCTCACCTAGTCCAAACTACGGCGATCAGAGCTCTACCCATAGCTATTAGTTCACGTAATACGGATGCCGATTACACTGTGTATATCTGATCTCGCTCAGGGCAAGAATGACCAACTCGGTCGCATGTTTTTCTCGCATTGACAAAAGGCCAGTGATCTGGCTCCCTTCCACCGATATGTCAACGGACCATCCCCCTATGAACTTGGCTCCGGGATACCCCGCGCGTCAGGCCTGCCAGACGAACCTAAATCTTAAAAATGCAGTTATATGATTTTCTCAGTGTTTTACCCATGTTTAAACAGGATGTTTCATACTACTATCGGCATAGTGAAAAGGTAGGTAGTATGGATCAACGCCTTTTCATATCAGAAAATAATGAATTCAGTTTTTACGGATATATCTAATATTATCTAAACACGCCAAATCTCTGACATCGCATATCTGAGGCGCTAATGAACCAACTTTGTTTGAATGCGCCTCTTTCGGTTTTTTGGTCAAACATTTTTATTTATTCTAATATCTTATTTTTAGTAGTTTATTGCGACAGAAAACTCAAAATTTCAAGGATCGCCAATTTGGTCTCATCAAAATTTTACAAGAAATTGATTGAAATTGAACTATAGATACTATCTACAGTTTCACTATATTCATTTAAGTATATTCTATTCAAATTAACACCGTTTGGATAACTTCATGACACGAGGAACATTAACGCCACTTCATTTTCGTGTTTCAAAATATCTCATTGATCTTAAGACCTTTACTTTAGGTAAATAATATTGGTTCCTCCAGACTCACTGACTGCCACACTGGACTAAAAAGTTTAGCTACCCCTGGGACTATATCGCGTTTGGTAGCTCGTCACGCAGGTTAAACCGATGATTAGAAAGTGATTAAAAGGGAGAGAGAACGGGTGCCGAATGACGGCGCGTTATCGCTTAAGTGAGGGTTGAGGGAGAAAATCACATTTTTCAACGACGACCTTCTTCCTCGCGATTGTGACGTCACACAAAGTTAGGGCAATCGATACTATATGAACCTATTAAGAGCCGTTGGATATATATTGAAAGATACTTTATTTCACCTCTTGGCTGAAAAAAGGTTTATTTATTTTTTTATTATTTATTTGGCGTATGGCGCACATTGTACTTATACATTAGGCTATAGAAACTATGAAATGCCCAAAATTTGTATACCTCCTCAAAGTTTCCAGAAACAAGTACACTTAAAATAACAAAGCTAATGTTAGGTTAAACAGTAGCGAAAAAGTAGAAAAAAAAAATGTAAAAGTACTCACAGTTCATTTGCAGAAAGTTTTAAGTATGGCTCTATCACTCTTGCAGGAAAATTCTCAGCTTCGAGGGCTCGTGCAAAAACCCTTTTATACCTACAAACCATCATCACGCAGCGTATGCCACACTTTAGCCTGAAGGATTTTCTTCTACAAGATTCGAGGTTGTCTAGGTCTCCGACTGTGCCCACCTCGACATTCCTGCAAACGACCTGTATCCCTAGTTCTTTCCGTCTGGGAAAGCTATGTGCATATACTCGCGAAGCCTCGGTAGCATTTTGAAGGCACTCACCATGAATTAAAATCATACTAGAAGTTCGATATTGGTATACCAGTGTGCGATATTGGCTTGTCCAATCTGATTGGTAGATAAATGTTTTGTTTACCTACGCTGCCGGCCAGAGTTGAGTACTGACGTGCATCGTGCCATCTCACTTTTGATCTGATCGATGTACCGATTTTGTGGAGCCTAATGTCTCGGTTATCTTGCGACTTGGTTCTAGGAAAAACCGCTTATTTTTTCGACATCAATACGCCGTGCAAAGAGTTCCAACTTTACGGTTACTCTGTATAATTAAAATAATCACGACTCACGTGGAGGAAGTCCATTATATAGATAGACTCAATTATAATATTGCTTATGGTTTGGTTACTAGCTTCACAATTACACTGTCGGAATGGAAGTGCAACCCATTTATAGAGGAAGTCGGCGTATCTACCATGTGTTCTAATTCTATTAAAACATATCATACCATACATTTGGAGGGAGGTCAAAACTAACATAGGTGGTGTCTCCATAAGGCATTAAGTGACGTCGTTCATGAAACTTTTTTAGCCATTCATGCTTCCAGGAATTTAATAAATCAAAACCATTATCGTACATGTGTTTTGCACCTCTAAGAGGAGGTTTCCTTGAGTGCATCAATAACGATCCTCCACTGCGACTCTTTGGTCTATTGTGCCTCAGGTTTCCTAGAACGAGGTCTGTTTATCAGCATATAAATATCTTTAGATCTACAATGCCTTCATTTATGAGGAGCCTCTGATTTTGTATGCAATTTCTCAGTAAAACTTTGGATCTACGCAGATATGGTGGTGGAATATGTCTTCGGACTGGTAGGCAGTAGGTTAGGATAGACTTGATGGGCCCTGTTAAGCATCCCCTTGTTTCGTTTAATTGCGTAATACCATTCTAAAATATTGGCCGCTTGTTCAGGCAGCAGTGCAATATTCAGTAGATGAATAAGGCAGATCCTATTATATATATATACGTATATATATATATATATATATAATAAAGGTCGTCTGCTGTTTTGGTGGTGTATAAGTTATCTTCTGTCCCGAATCAAACCTTGGAAGTAGTATATCTGGCTACCAAAGTCAACGAATGATAATCTGGAAGATTCATATACGGCGTAGTAAGCAACTATAAAGAGTACTTAGATTAAAAATGATATACTATATACCTGTAGTCTCGTGGAAATGGGTTTACCTCATAAGGCTGCAGTGCGCTTTTTGTATAAACACTGCTCTGGTTTCCTGTGAGGCAGTTGCTTCATCAGACGCACGATTTCTATGACGTAATGCAGCTACTAAGTGCAGCTTTGATAAATAAATGAGTAAAGAAGCTCGAAGATGGCCAGTCAACCTGAAGCAACCTGACAGCTCCCGCAAATGCAGCTGAAGAGATCACGTGTTATCAGCTGAAAATTCTGGCACCAGTCTTCTCAAAATGTAACTTATTTTGCACATATATGCCTAACAAATCCCTACCCGTGAAAAAACGTTTCCGTATAAGCTAATTTCCATTTGAAGCGAAATTTTGTGGCCTCGATTTGTCTCCACTCTCCACTCCACCCTTCTTGATATGTTATTCATAGAGTTGTCTTAGAACAAATATGCCAACGATACTTACTCGATTGACAGAAATCATTTGAGATGCATTTCCACGATCGCGTCGTTTTCCCGTACACTTGACTAACAAGACACACCCCAGCGCTGATCCGGTTTCGATAGATGATCTAGATCACGGAGGACTAGTAGCTCGTATATTTGTTTCGGGCTAAGAAGTACTTTTCTCCATATAACGTCCTCACTCTGTACAAGGTCCAGAGAAGACCTAGCTTTGGGTACATAGACACGACTAACTCTCATCCTAACTGTGTCGAACGTCATATTAATGATTTTTTACTTTACATTTTCCTCGAATTTTTGTTTCAGGTGTCTTCAATAAACCGCGTGCTTCGCAACCTGGCCGCCCAGAAAGAACAAACAACGGGCAGTGGCGGTACGGCGCCATCTAGCGGCGATGCAGTGTACGACAAGCTGCGGCTGCTAAACGGGGGCGGTAACAGCCAACCAGGGGGCGGTTGGCGGCCCGCCGCCCCTTGGTATGCGCCCGCCCATCACCAGGGAGCGTTTCCTATGCAACCCCTGACGCCGCCCACGAGCACTCCTGGATCAGGAGCGGACGAGATGCATGCGCCTTTAGGAAAAAAGGGTGAGTGTGTGTGTTTCTGATATACTCTTGATTACAGCATACAGTATATTGTATTCATGTTTGTACTGTGCGGAGGTAGGTGAAAAATTTCATGATATCCATCTACCAATGGCTGATTTTCATCATCATCTAGTACGGTGAAAGATGACGCAGAACCCCAGCGTTACCGGCCCAAATTGCTCGACGTTCTGTGCAATGCTCATATGGATGTCGTAACACCAAAACGGTGTACCCATCTAGCAGCCGGAATACAAAGTGTTCACAGAGCAGACCAACAAATGAACATGTTTGCATTCCGTCTTTGTAACCACGACCAACCGCAGACAGTGCTATTTCGTGCTCATTAGCAACTCATCACTACGGTATAGGCCTAGTAATCCTGGAGACAGATGAACACAAATAAGTAGATATCATCGTTTCAGAGAGGAAAAGCAAACATGATAATTTCATTCACTTTTGTAGTTTATACGTTGAATCAACAATTTTTGAAAAAAATCAAGACAAAGCTTTCTCGTTGGGAAGCTGAGTATACTCGCTGACGTATTTCTTATCTTCGTTGTTGTTTCTCAACTTGTCTATATCCCATCATGACATCTTTTTGTCGTTTAACCTTAATTGCCTCAGTCGTCGATATGACATTTATTTGTCGCGCAAACTGAAGCGTCACCGCATCAAGCGGTTAATTCTCAAAATGAGAGAGTATAATAACATAGAAAGTGGGCGTGGTTCTCTTAAATTTTGAGGAACTATATTCCTGAACACTGAACAGAAGAGTCGCTCTCCGGGTCATCTTCGGAAGATGTTTTGCAATTGTCCACCATTCATAAAGATGAAATTAACTTTCTTATTGAACTTTCAAGGATACAAAGACTCCAAAAACGTATATTTTTCCGAAAATGGATGCATTGACAAAACTTGTATGGCACACGTTAACAACTGACAGAATTCAGGATCATATCCCAGGGATGAGAACCATGCCCACTTTCTCTCTTCTTCCTCCATACTCTCTCGTTTCCAAGAATATGGGTCTGAAGGAACCCGATGAGCCATTCGGTGGGACAATCTTATCCCATATTTCATTTTCCCTCATTAAGTGTTCATTTTCGCTGAGCAATACATCAAATTACATGTACTTAATGAAACTATTTTTATAAGATACAGTGAATTTCCTTTTCCTCCACATTTTCATTATAAATTCAGTCCTAAATATATACGGTATTGTGAGGTAAATTTGTCGTAGAGGACCAAAGAAAGATCACAATATGGATTGTAGGTCTGTAGATCTTGTGGTCGGTGCTGAAGAGTAATCTTGTAGATGTACTGATTATATTAAAGAATTGCGAAAATATTTACAGAACTGCTTGTACAGGGATATTTTTTGAACTTTCGTTATTCCTTCAGGTTGATAATTGGACACAACGTGCATTCGCTATATTGAGTCAAGTTGGAAATGAAATAATTAGCGTAACTGTACGTGCTTGATAATGCTTACATATATAACGGATACTTTTTGTACCTAGCTTTTGTTTAGATTGCAAAATGCGACTTTAGTAATATGAAATAATAATAATAATAATGTGATCAAAGCTTCCGTACAACACCTGAATAACAAGGATTAGTATCAATGATAAACGGGTGTGTACATAATACTACTACATATAATACCTGTACGCCACTCTCTGTTTATTCCTCCGCATAGAATTCTCCTCAACAAGGTCAAATAAGGAGAAACTCTACAGTATCGTTTTTAGATGATTTTCTAACTCGAGTTCACTTCCAACAAGCAGTTCCGAACAAGTTCAGAACTAGTTCAGAATTATTTTTTTGCACATATCCGAGGTACGTAAATTTCAAATTATCAAATCTTCCTATGCTAGACGTGGAATTTGAGATAATTTGTTGCTTTGCGACTTGCTGTAAATTTAAAAAGAAAATGCGAAAATGTGATGGCGGATTTAAGAAGAGATGAGTAGCTTGGTGGAAATGTGTTAACGAAATACTACGAAATTTTGTATTTTGTAGCGCTGCAAAATTTAATGAATTTTTGAAAATGTGTAATAAGCTTCACAAAAATTACTAAGATTTTGCTTATACAGGATGGCGCATCGAAAACGAAACAGACGCGTTTAGTGCAGCTCAGTGTTTTTTTTTTAAAACGCTCAAACCCGTCGATTTTGTTTACGAGGGGGACACAAGTTTGGCAAAAAATCACGTTAACACGTGCAGCCCCCTGGGCGGGGGTGACACCAACCCTAAAATCTTAAATAGAAAGGGGGGTCGAGTGATACCTTATTTTAAAGGTCTTTCGATTCCCTTTGTAATGATATAAAATACATGAGCTTCAGTTCAGTAGTTTTGAAGATTTATTGATTTAAAGCTTAAAGTAGACTTTAATAGGTACCTACATCAGATTAGTTTGTACTTCTTTCAGAAGAAATTTGACTAAAAGAATTTACTTAATAAGTAAATGATTTTCTTCAGTATTCCCATGGTTTGTTTATCATTTTGTTATTGAAAATAGCTATTGAAGCGTTTTTTTGTGGCAAAAAAGTTATTTCTTGAAGAAAGATAAGGAAATATCTCGTACTTATTTTAAATAGGAACTTAGTACATAGTTTGCGATTGATTTGACCAAAATTTGTTGCTAAAATAACTTGTAACGCTTTATTACATAAATTAACCATGGTATATTCCACAGCAGAAAGAGTTGAAATTATCGAAATATTTTTCGGAAATAATCAGTACGCTAATAGAATAGCAGAAATATTTAATGAGCGACATGAGAACAGTAACGTGCATCGAGAATATGTTCTAGAACTTGTAGCTAAACTTCGGGAAACTGGGTCAGTCACCAATAAAAAACGCAACATTGAAAATCCCATAAGGAACGAAGCAATAGAAGTGGGGGTTTTAGGGCAAGTTTATGTAGATCCTACGTTAAGTACCCGCAAATTGGAGACTGTGTGTGGTGTTAGTCGACGTCTGTCCAACGGATTCTAAAGGCCCATAGTTTTCATCCGTATAAAATTCACCTAGTACAAGAACTTAATAAAGATGATTTTGATCGGCGATTACAATTTTGTGAAGATTTGAGTGAAATAATTATAAACGATGAACATTTTCTTTTCAAGACTTGCTTTCCGACGAATGTTCCTTTTTCTTAAATGCCGTAGTAAATTGTCCTAACTGCCGATATTGGTCCGATTATAATCCCAGAATTTATCATGAGGTTCATACATATCGGCCACAAAAATTAAATGTTTGGGCTGGTATTTTTGGCGATGATTTAGTTGGTCCTTTTTTCTTTCCTGGAAATTTGACCGGTGAAATGTATTTGGAATTACTGGAAGACGCCATAGATCCTGCATTAACAGCCATAATTGAAAATCAGAATGATCGGCGGTACATTGCAAATAGGTTGATGTTCCAACAGGATGGTGCCCCACCACATTACGCATTACGTGTTCGACAATATTTAGATCAGACGTTTCCAGATCGATGGATTGGTAGAAGATGTGCCATTGAATGGCCCCCAAGATCGCCAGATTTACCAACTTTGGATTTCTTTATGTGGGGTCATTTAAAAAGCAAAATCTATGCTACTCAGCCAACATCATTAGAAGACCTGCGACAAAGAATTGTGAATGAGTGCCTTGAAATCACTCCTCAAATATTGCAAAACGTGCGGCAACGTTTTGAGCAAAATCTTTATTATTGCATGAAGAGTCATGGTGGCCATTTTCAACATTTACTTGCCTAACGGGTCAGTTCATTCTTTATTTTTAAATTACTTTGCTGCCAAATGTATTGATCTCCACTAATGATGACGTATTAGTTTTATTTAAGCTTTAAATCAATAAATCTTCAAAACTACTGAACTGAAGTACATTAATTTTATATCATTATAAAGGGAATTGAAATACCTTTAAAATAAGTATCACTCGACCCCCCTTTTCATTTAAGATTTTGGGGGTGGTGTCACCCCCGCTTAGGGAGCTGCAACGTGATTTTTTGCCAAACTTGTATCCCCCTCGAAAACAAAATCGACGGGTCTGAGCGTTTTTCAAAAAAAAACTGAGCTGCCAGTAAATGCATCTGTTTCGTTTTCGATGCGCCACCCTGTATATTTAGAAACATTGGAATGTTAGAAAATGTACAAAATCACAGCCACAGAATCCAGCTTCCCGGCTTTGAATAGGTCATCGACGCCACTTATTCTGTAAACGCACATGCGCCACCAAATTAGAAATTTTTGTTTTCTTTCAGAATCAAAACTGTTAGCACCAGTTCAGAATCGGTTTGGAATCAGTTCGGAATTTGTTTTAACAGAACTGCCTGTTACGGGATCAGTTCTATTTTCTGTTGGAACGGTAATTTCGATCTGCGCATGCTCTGTTCAGTTCAGAACTGATTCGATTATTTGTTGGAAAAAAGCTTAGTGATAGTACAATGCTGGGACACTTAAGAGCGAGAGCTTCAAAGTGGCTCGATTAATATCGTGGTCTATATCTGAAAACAATAAACCAAAATATGGAATATAGGAAGGTTTTTTACCGTTTAGTAAAGAAAACAAATACATCAGACCCCAAGGGAGGCAGATTTTATCTTTACCCGGGGGCGCAGATACTCGCTAGATTTTTTTTATCAGACCAATAAGGCGTAAATCTTCGCCAATATACAAATCAGTTTTGAGCAATATAGTGATGTTCTATAGGTACACAAAACAGTGAAAATCTCTTAAATTTTTCGAAGCGAATGTTGCCCTCTTATCCATATTCAGGAACCGCTTATGCTAAAATCTCCTTCATTTGCGGAGATGCGACCGAAGTTCTGTCTTTGTGTTGAGAGAATATTCAGGCTTCTGTTAGGGCCCCGCGTTTGTTCTGTTTGTGTTTGTATGTGTATGCGTGTATATCTCAAGAACGAGATGGTGAAATATGTACACGTCTGTTAAGCCCAGAATACACAATGATGCACTAAAGAATTGCACTCTAGATTTT